CATTTTATTTTTGTTATAAGCCATGTTCAAAAGAGTAACAAACATTTAATCTGCCATGCATTTAATATTTCACTGTATAATATTCCTTATGTATGTATTTAGCTATATTATATTATAAAAAGTGCAGTTATGTTGGAAAATTCTGTAAAATATGGCAGTGTCAGAAGCATGTTAATGTTTAAGAAGCATTCAATACCATATTCATAGACACACACTGGTGCAGAATGATTGACAGCCCTTTATGTCTGAGAATACATTTTAGTGGAAGATTGAGGGGATAGATGCCGAAGGTCTCTTATCAAAAGGAGACGACTTTACTTTAGAAATGTGTTGATGAAGGAGGGCAAAAGCTGTATTTGAAGAGGTTTTGCCACTTCTGATAAGGTGAACTGTACATAATCATTTATTGTTAGGTAAAATCACTTCAGTAACAAGTGTAATTTATTTTAATATTTTTCCAAATGGAAGAATGTTAAAAAAACATTTTAAAACATATTTCTCACCCAAATTCCATTTAGTTTGTGGAGCGGGAACCTTACCCGCAATTTTTTTATCTTTTCTCCTTTCAAATTCTTAGTATTCTATATGTGTTTGCGTTAGATGTATTCATACAGTTGTAATCAAAATTATTCAAACCCCATTGAATACCAGGTTTCTTGTCGAAATTTGCAGACTTTCATCTGTTTGCAATAAACAAATCAAACAAAGGAATTGAATAGCTCAACACAACGAATACTTCAAGTGGTTTCCCCAAATTAAAACTGAAAGGCAACTTACAATGACTTATCCATTCTCAAAATTTTCAACCCCTTTCATGGCTTGGATCTTAGTACTTAGTATAGCACCCTTTTGCTGTTATGACCTTTGTGAACAAGATGCATAGCAGGACACCTGCTCATGAGCATCGGCCTCCAGTTCAATAATATTCTTTGGTTTGTGTGCTGCAAACGCCTTCTTCAAATCCCACCTGAGATTTTCTATGGAGTTCAAGTCAGGTGACTGTGATGGCCACTGTAGAATTTTGCAGGACTTCTTTTGCAACACAGCCTTGGTGGAATTTGAGGTATGCTTGAGATCATTGTCTTGTTGGAAGGTCCAATGACGCCCAAGCTTCAGCTTCCTCACAGACGGCATGACGTTTTCTCCTAGGATTTCCTAATACTTCAATGAATCCATCTTGCATTCCACATGCCACAGGTTTCCAGTGCCAGAGGATGCAAAGCAGCCCCAGATTATCACCAAACCATGCTTAACTGTATGCAGAGTGTTCTCTTAACCTTGTGAACCATTATTTGATTTAGCCATATTTCTAACATACAGTCAAGCATGACACTAAATAAACCCCCAGCCAGTTAAGGTATTTCAAATGTTCCTGCTCAAGCACACCTGGTGCAACTAATGAAGCCCTTAATTAGCTGCATCAAGTGTGCTTAAGACAACACTTGTTTTGAATATTTGTGATGTTGTCAGGGATTCTATTCAGGGCATTGCATTTTCAGTTGAATTAGGGAAAACCACTTGATAAATTTGTTGTGTTGAGCTGTTTGAATTGCATTTGTTTGATTTGTTCATTGCAAACAGCTGAAAGTCTGTAAATTTTGACAATAAACCTGATTTTCAATTGAATAATTCTGATTACAACTCTATATTGTTCCTACATTGGGACGGGAGAGCAATTTGACGTGAGATACGCTCTCTCCAGGGTTAATTCTCTAAAAGCAGTTCAATCAGTGAAGTATAGGTGGTACCACTGAGCTCCATGTTTATCCTAAGCTGCCATTCAGGTTGGGATATGTTCACTTTGCCTAACAGTGGCCCTGCCAATGTCTTGATATTTTATTTTGTTATGAGTGCTTTCCCGGTCTTTGTCTTTGATGTTAAATGGACAAAACTCAATAAACTCAAAAAAAAAGTAAAAAGTCCCAAATTTTATCTTCTTCCTATTATCTTTTTGGCCAGATGCATTTAAAAATCATAAAGAAACAGTGTAAATTGCATTATCCTATATTTGCCATGCTCATGTTTGAAACCATGCTGAGTGCCCTGCTCGTTGGAACTATCAGGCACTCACACAAAATGAAAGCATGACACCCAGGTAGTCAGAGGAAATTATGTTACGGTTTCATAGCATCACTGTTTCATAGCTCCCAAAAGAAAGAGCAATGGCACAAAATAGAATCATCTCATGCATTTTACACTTGTGAGTACCAAGCTTTCCATACTTAAATGATGAATTGCCCAGGAATTAAATATATGTCATATATAACTGTAAATAAATCTCAAGCACAGAAAAATTGTGGTACCAAAGCATAACTTGTAGAATAGTGTAAGTCATGTATATTCTATTTTCCAATATATTGTATGCTAGTTCATCCAAGTGTCAATTTCTGTAACACAGTAAATATATTTTTAGAAAATTCAAACAGATCACCAATGTTTTAGCTGCAAATGCTACAATATTCCTTAATGTTTTCAGAAGATGTAACAATGATAATACAAATATACCCACTAATTCTTGGTACATCTATGGTACATAGTTTAGGCAGTTTAAAATTTGTATTACTATTCATTTTATTAAACTCCCAAACCCTTAAAAACCAAAACAAATACTTTAATCAATAAAGTAAACTGCTTACGTACGGCTAGAGTACCTTAAAATAAACAAGCAGTGCTGTTTTAATGAATGATGATGCAATATTTTCCATGGAACAGTTGAATGAATCATTAAATCATTAAATGCTTAATACGTAAAAACAAACATAAACCTTGCAAAATAGTACAGTATTGCCATGATAAACAGGAAAGTCATGAGATCTGTGAAAATTAGTCAAATTCACGAGCCAAAATGAAGACAGAATGCTAAAAACTCTACTGGCCAGTGCTATAGTGAGACTTTGACATTTAACTAGTAAAGTAAGCTTCCACATAATAATGTTTATAAATATGTATGATAAAATATGTTTTTACTATAAGTTTTTCATTTTTTTTTGTAATTCTGCATCAGTAGATTCTGGACATCTATCCAACAATATATCATAATTTATGCATTACAGAGGCTGAACAATGGGTTAATTTGACCAATAACTCCTAAATTTATATAGTAGTATTGCAAATAATTTTTATACTTACTTCACTAAACACCAGATTTTGTCCAAATGGACAAGATCTGGTGAAAATTACTAAATTTCAACTGCATTAGCAATTTGTGCATTTACAAAATCCAAATTTGGTCAGTATTAAACATAGAAACATAGAAACATAGAATGTGACGGCAGATAAGAACCATTCGGCCCATCTAGTCTGCCCAATTTTCTAAATACTTTCATTAGTCCTTGGCCTTATCTTATAGTTAGGATAGCCTTATACCTATCCCACGCATGCTTAAACTCCTTTACTGTGTTAACCTCTACCACTTCAGCTGGAAGGCTATTCCATGCATCCACTACCCTCTCAGTAAAGTAATACTTCCTGATATTATTTTAAACCTTTGTCCCTCTAATTTAAGACTATGTCCTCTTGTTGTGGTAGTTTTTCTTCTTTTAAATATAGTCTCCTCCTTTACTGTGTTGATTCCCTTTATATATTTAAATGTTTCTATCATATCCCCCCTGTCTCGTCTTTCCTCCAAGTATTCATTTAGTCTGACCAATTATGTCACTTTCATTTAGAAGCATTTGAAAAATTAGTGATTTTTACATCCAAATAAATTTCAAACACAGGAATCGGAGATTTATCAATGACCCAAGATACATCACATGCATTTAGTAGTTGAAAAACTAGTGATTTTCTCATCTAAACAAATGTAAAGCACAGGAATCAGAGATTTATCAATGGTTCAAGATAAATCACATGCATTCAGTAGAATGCAGAACCACACAAGTGAATGATCATTTAAATAACTATTTTCCCAATGGCAGCGCTAGCAGCCAGTGGAAAATCGTTAAAATTCCTTGGTGATGCAAGGGATAGTAATGAAGCAGATATCCAGCACTTCCTATCCAGCTGGAACATGAAACAAGTTAAAAAAAAAATCCCATGGGGGTAAATAAAACCTCCTCTACTGCTATAATGTAGGTTGTAAACCTCCATATGCACCCACCTGCCATCGAAATGACTACTACACATTAAAAACTATGAACTGGGTAGCCATTGCTTCCCAGTCACTAGGAAAGGCCTCATCTCCTTTTAATTACAGGAATGAGGCCTGTGAGTAAAAGGGGGGACATAGTCCCCCAGCTGTGGACATCGGGTGAGGGCTACTTTAAACATTCATGGATGAGGACCTAGTTCCACCTCCAAACCCACTCATGGGCAGGGGGTGGGAGCCCTAATATTATTAAAAAAAAGCAGAAGACCAATTGTCCCCATCCCTGGCACCCCATCATAGGTCTTATTATGTTCCCTCCACTGACCCCTACCCATGGATGGTGGTGGAGCCCTAATATCAATAATAAAGGGGGGGATCTAGTGTCCCCAGCCCCTACCATTGGTGATTTGTGGGGCCCTAATTCATTTTAAAATAGGCTAATGTCCACCCCATAAATATTTGGGAGGTCTCTAGGTGTCCCGAATCCCCTAGTCACCCCCTAAAATACATTA